AATATAATATATTAATAAATAAATATCTGAATACTGTATCTACAATGACTTTAGGTGAAACAAAATCCATTTATTTCTTTATTTATAAATGATATATGGATTTGATCTTTATGAAAATGTATAAAAAAATAAAAATTTAATTATTTGATGGGATGGATGCTTAGGTAACTTGCTTTGAATGATGGAAAAGCATCATTCGATAAATTGTAATTATAATTGGATTAATTGAGAGAAGTGCAATTTGTTGATACAATCATTATCAATACTTCTGTTTATGACTATTGCTACTTGAAAGAGGGAAAGTTTACCATAAATCTTAACTGGATAGCATTCAGATGAATCATTTCAATTTGAACTTATTAAGCAGATGTATTTTAATTATGATTATAGTGAACATAAATTTAAGGAAGCAACTAAAACATATTTATTACCTTCAATTTATCCTGCAGCACCAATTCAAAAATAAAAAATACTTACAAAAATATGTAAAGAATACAAAGAGTCAATTGGATTTAAATGGAAAGTACATTCTTTTTACATCAATTCAGGATTCAGACTTAAATTTTTATTCCAATCCTCATACTGATATATTTAATAAATGTGATTTAATGGAATTTCTTTCAGATTTTACCTAAAAATTTCATTTCAAATTAAAATTATTTTTAATGAAAAGAAGTACCATAGAATGATAAACAGATTATAGGTTTGATAGCAAAATTATGAAAGTAAGAAAATTAGAAAAAGTTGAATGGACTAATCAAATAAGTGATTCATTTGTATTTTTGGATATGTATGAATTTCATAATTAATCTATTGTCATTAAAAATTTATATGTAAAATCTTCAAGTTATAAACATAACCTAAATATAAATTAAATAGCTTAGTAAAATATTTTCATCCCAATTATACTATAAAATTATTAATTTGAATACTAAACATTTTAAAATCTAAAAAAGGATCATCCTATTCAAATGTATTATTGCTTGTAACAACAGCTTATTATTTATTTACATCTTATAATATTTATTTATTTGTTTCTTTATTAGGTTTCTTATCATCTGTATTTTTAATCATGACTAGATTTTGAATTTTCATTTGTCAAACCCAAATCTCTATGTGTGTTCACTACTTCTTTACATTGTTTTTCCTATTTATAGTTAAATTATATATAAACTCTATCATCCATATTCTAATTAATTTCACTTTAATTCATTTAGCAATCCTTAATTCCCATGATTCATAATCAGGTTTAACTAAGAATACTAAACAAGTATGCAGGCACAAACTACTCTCTATTTTCTTTCATAATTCTTATAAAAATTTTGGCAACCAATTCTTTTATTGCATCTTTTGAATTTTATCCTTTTATTTCTCCTACCTTTCATTTCAATTATATAATACTTATTCATATAATTCTTCCATATATCTAAATAAAACACCACCTTTCATATCCATATTGTGTTGTTTTAATTTTGATTTTTCCTTTTTAATGTTTTCTTCTATGAACTATTATTCTTTTATCAAATCATTTGAATCGTCTGCTTTTTTGCTTAGTTTAAAATATTAGGCAATGTTCTTCTAGATAAAGCGCTTAATAATTTAATTAAAATATTGATATAATTATATATAGCTTCTTATCAATCTATTTTAGATGCTCTTTTAAATCTATATCATTTCTATTGTTATAGCTTAAAGTAGACTATTAAAATAAATATTTAATGATTCATCTCTAAAATTTAATAAAAATTGATTTCAGAATTATAGCATTTATTTACAAAAAAAAATTAATAATTACAAGATATTAGTAATAAATATCTTTCTAATTTTCTATTATCAACTTATAATTCAGATCGAAAGAATATTATTAATACAATACTCTATCTTCAAGTTCCTTTATTTCTTCTTCATATAATTTCTTATTTTCTTCTTCTAATAGCTTAATCTTGTAATAATATAACATATTCTAATACTTTTTTCAGAAAGTTTTTCAGAATGATTACGTCTTTGAGAATTCAATTTTTATTTTTACATCTTTTCTTAATA